CACTCATACGCTTTATTGAAGCAGTACCTGAACGGCAGAGAACAGACTAATTGCTTCATGCAACCATGAGGACTACAACGAAGTAAAACAGAAAACATTTAAATGCGTGCAGTGTCTATACTCGGTAAGTAAAAAATTGCTGTAAAGAAAATTAGAAAGCTTTGGTCGCAAAATTACAACTCTAAGTGGAAGTTCTAGCAAAAATTACGCCCGCAATTTCCTTTAGAAAAATACGGATGACATGATTTCTATATAAAAAAATTAATTGCAACTCACTTCGTAAGAAACTCTCCAAGTGTCATATCATGTGGACCATAGAATTCCATGTTAACCACCCATGGTCGAACACAAAAATAGGGGGCGTTGGGGGACTTAGGTGAAAACGAGCCAAAAAGTACTGCTATTCGCTGATGCACATATGGATCGAGCATATCATGTCGGCGCATATGTTGACGTTCCCACAAAATGTTAAATTGATTTGAAAAAAGTATATTGACAAAAAAGCAGAGAACGCGACATACCTTGTTAATTATTGGAGGTGGCTCAATGGACTTCTTCGATTGTATTCTCCTCTTAAAAATTGCACCTCCTAGAGCACGGAAAGCGGCAAGATCGTCTCTGTTGTTAGCATCGCGGGCACCATTTCTGGCGTAAAAATGTCGAGGTTTGTCAGGTACAGGAACCTAAACATACTTGCATCCGGCAAAAACAGCATCAGAAATCATTATCTACCGCGCTTTGTAGACTAAGACATTGCTCCGTTTCATTATCCTCTTCATTTAAACGAGCATCAAAATCCTCCTCATTGAAAAACTGATAGACAGGCACATTGAAATATGGTAGCAAGGAGCAGTTCCTAAATTCAAAAGAAATGAACAAGGAACATAAAATAACGAGATCTACCGACAACTCACTTCCCCCTGACAGACTTCAAGTAAGGAGGTTCATGATCAATGAAAGGAGATGCACTAAGAACACTGTCAGCTAAAGCTATTTCAAAGTCGGACTGCAAATACGAAGAAATTATTATGTGAAGATGATAAGCAGGAGAATTAAATACCTTCTCGTTGTTGTGATCGATAACTTCACGACGAGCTTCGCAAATTTCACAATTGGAGATTTGATAAGCTAGTCGGATATTGAACATATTGAGATATACTTTCTCAAGACGAGCGGAGTACAGCAAAGAAGTGAGAAAGAGAAGAATCCGCTGAAACTTGCTTTTCTGATGAAAGTGCTATATCAAGGAGAACTTTTACTTCTTATTGATTATGTGATCCATTCTAGTTGTAGTTTGTTTCGCATTGTGTCATTAGAATGATTTTAAAAAAAGACATTGAGTGTCAGCAGCCTACTAGAATTCTAACGTACATGAAATGGAAGATATGCTTCTTCATTTTCACCACCAATCTAATTTAAGCTATTAATATTTTCAGTGCAATGGAAATGAAATTGAATCAATTGACGAGAAATGCTCACCTTAACAGCCCTCAGCTCGCGTGCATCTGAGCCTTTGATCAAAACACTACAACCTCTATCTGGTGGACATTCATCTAAGATCTAAAAAAAGCGCTTACTTGAGTAATTTTCATAGTTCTCATATAAGGCACCACTCACAATGAGAAGCTTTTGATGACCATCTTTGAGATACACCGTTCTCTGGGTGAAATAGGGGCAGAATCCGATGTTCTGTTGGATTAATTGCGCATCAGAACTTGGCAGAATATCGGCTCCGGTGGATCGAGCCACACGATGGAGTATTCTAAAGCAGTTCTCAAGAAACAATTCTCAGAAATAAGTCGAAGAAACTTTGCGATTCCATACCGAGTGCTAACGTTCACAACTAAACGTACGCCAGCTTCACGCAAAAGATTTGATGCTATTCTCGAAACGTTTCCTTCAACAAGGAGTACTGAGGGCCGTCGAGACATTATTCGTTCAACCTAAAAAGAGACGAAAAAACAACAACATGGTAACTACAAAATAAATGTCAAACTAAATAGATTTTAGAAATCGTAAGAAAAGCAGAAAAACTAGGAGCTCAACAAAAGATATACCTGTTTTGCCAAAAATTCGCCTTCTTGACACAATATTGGCTCAAGAGTGGATAAACGACCAGGAATTCTTTCATACTCAATAGAACCAGCAACAATCATAACAGATGCATCTCGAAGTGGATCAGCCATGGATTCATGTGAAACACTCTTACTGCATACAACTCCCCAGATGAGCTACGAATGCAAGTGTTCTGATTCATAATCAAAGAGATATGAGAAATTTAAGGAATACTTCAGCTCGAGGCTCTTCGTCGTCTACGTATAGCTTCTTTACGTGCACATAATTTAAAATATTCATTTGATCTCGCCTCTTTGCCACATCTATCTTGACTGTATGAGATATTTCCTTGGCTAGGTTTAAGATTATAGATTTCCACCTGAAAAAATTATGAGGGAACTAGTTAGTGAATACAAAAACAACTATGAATATGATGAAGAAAATATCAATGAGAGTAAAACCCACCTATGATCTCGCAGTCTCTCCCTAGTGCAGATATATGCAAGCAATTGTTCGACACGAACGTCGAAAGCACGATCTATATCATCACCATATTGCGCTTTTGTAGGTGAAACAGGTAGAGACGGCCTAAATGAAGTAACTTTGAAGTCTACAAAAAAAGGAATAGCGTAGCCTTAAATTGACTCACTTAGCAGACAACGACTTCTTCTCCTCATTTTGTCCGGTTTGAAATCCTTCGATGGTGATCGGTAGAGGATCAAAATGGCTATCGGTGGTTTGGATATCTTTATCGGAAAGTCTCTGCAAAAAATGAGTAGCAGATTCAGTGAAGCACCAGCATTAATGCACAAGTTTGAGCACTTAGGCGAAATTAGTTTATGAAATGAGAAAATTTTCTTGTGTAAACCCAACCGAAATTATTACAGCCGATTGTGGGTGGACGTACAAATCTGCAAAATATGGCAGAGGAAATACTTACTTGATCACTATCCTTCATAGGAAAACTTGTATTAGAATCCATATTGCGAAACCAATCCGGACCAGATTCCTCCTCTTCCTTTAGACCATTTTTGATGCTCTCCTGCAGGTAATAGAAACAATCTTCAATAAAGAAAATGAGAAAACACCCACTGCCTTTGAGTTAGATCTTTTTTCGTGCTGAAGATACAGTTCATTGGCACAGAGAAGAGACGGTGGCTTCGCAGCAGAAGGTGGAGCAAAAGAGTTGTCTTTGCTCTCACGGCTAGAGGTACCGATATCAGATGGATGTGCCCATATCATTGG